GAGCGATGTCAAGCGACGGCCCCGCATTGCCTGAAGGGCGACGCTCTTCTTGGGCGGCAGCGCTAAAGAAGTGCCCCATTTGACCCGTCTCCTGACGCTGCAGAAGAAACAAAAGGCATGAGTCACGATGACAACAGGCAAAAAACAGAGAAAAACAGATAAAACAGAGATGCTGGTGACTTACATTGGCGCTGTTGGGCGGTGGAGACATTTTGGGGATAAACCCTCGGGCCTCTGCTCCGCCTCATCGGGGCGGGACCGTTTTGAGTCCGCCCCCTGTTCCTAGGTGGAGGGACCCGCCTCCCTTGCGTCTAGGAGCGCGACAGCAGAGCCGCCCCCTCCACCGACACCTCGGGCGCGGCGACAGATCCACCCGCCCCTATTAGCTCTTAGGGCACGGCAGTGGAGACGCCCCCCTCCACCGGCACCTCTTGAAGCACGGCGGGACACTCCCCTCCAATGGCACCTCGGGCACGGCGGTAGAGCCTCCCGCTCCCACTGGTCATGAGGACAGGATGATGGTTTGGCTCGTCTCCACCGGCCTTACGGACTCACTTTCCCCTGCTTAAAACGGGAAGGGTCCCTGCTTGGACGAGTGGGTACCTGTCAGCGTATCCTCACTCTCTAGGTCATCCCACTCGGAGTCAGCAACTACCTCATCGTTGTCATTGTCGTCATCACTGTTTGTCTCCTCTCCTCGCTCTTGTGCCCACAACTTCTGTTGCTTCTTCCTCCTCTCGTCCACCTTGGTCTTCTTTCGCCACTTGGCCATGGTGCGATTCGCCGCCGCCACGAGCGGGTCATTCGGCAGCGGAGCCGGGTGGTCCATAAAGACGAGTCTCTTCGGCTGGTCCCCCTATCTCAATATCAGTATCAAGGGGTCGGGAGTTCAATTAAAAAGGAGGCACGAGGAAAAAGAACTTACGAAGTCAATGTACCCCGGTTCTAGCCGCATTGGGGGATGCCCTGACACCGGATACATGAAGTCAAGGATAGCACTGGTGTCGTCCCGCGGGGGCTCCATCGCCTCCTTGATGCGCTACGCCACTTCGAAGGGGAGAGCACTCCATGGGCGAGCGCCGTCCCATCGAGTGACGCTCCAGGCGCCATCAGGTATAGAGGAAGCATGCAACTCATCAGTGGCGCCACCCTCCGCGTATGATAGGCTCCGATGATCCCTGACCCCTTCACGCCCCTCTCCTTTAGAATTCGGATGGCGGTGAGATGGTCCTGGATTTTCTTCTTGTCTTTATCCGGGACCCCCCACTTCCTCCACAATGTTGGGACCTCTTCGATGAGGCGCCCGGTGAACGCTAGCAACGGGGCGGTTGCGTCGTCCTTGACGTAGAACCAATATGAATGCCACCCCTTGTTGGAGGTGATAGACCCATCGGCGGGTATTCGTTGACCCGGTTGTTGCGGAGCTGAATGCCGATGCATCCCATCGGCACACTCAGCTCCTGCCTCTTCTCCCGCTTCTTCAGGAGGGTGACGGCAAAGAAATACTACCATAGGTCGAAGTGGGGACTGATCCCTAGGAACCCCTCACACAGGGCGATGAACGCTGCAATGTGTTGGACTCCATTGGGAGTAAGATGCTGCAGCTCCACTTTGTAGTAATGCAGCAACCCCCAAAGGAACTTGTGGGCGGGGTGGTGAATCCCCTCTTATGGAAGCGAGCGAAGGACACGACATAGCCGTCGGGCGGCAACAGCGCGTACTCATCGCCGGGCAGCCGCCACTCCTCGGCGGCGGTCCACGCGCAGAGAAGACCACAGTGGACGAGGTCCCCTAGGCGCGGCAGGGTAATATCGGATCTACCCCACGGCTCTATTGAATGATTGGGGTGTGTGGATGCGAACTTGTCGACCGCTGGGATGCGGAATTAGAAGAACTAGGCGATTGGCGGCGGATGTTGTAGATGCAAAGGCGAGGAGGCAAAGTACGGAACCCTAGGGGCGAACCCTTTGGTTTTATAAGGGCGATGGATGTGAGGAAGGCAACCGTCCGCCTTGATCTTCGTGCCTGCCACGATACACCACCATGTCACATCGTGGGATATGCGCCCGTAATCCGTATCCTTTCCCTCCGGAGAGGCGCCAGATGTTGCACCTTCCCGGGCAGACCAGGACTCTTTACCCACAGAAGGGATACGGGTCAAAAAGCGTTTCTCCGGCCCACCTGGGCCCAGGAGTTCGAGGGCTGGCCCAATAGTTTCGACGGCCGTCCCAACGAAGGATGGGTCACGGCGGCGAAAACTCAGGCGCACGAGCCTCGAAGGAGGCTTGATCCACGATCGAGTCTCAACTGGGCTGACCCTGGACGAATCCCCGCGAACAAGATACAGGGTTCCCTTAAGCTATCCGGCTAACAAAACCACAAAATCTCACAGCCATACCCGCGAAGGGTCTGAATTACCCCCCGGACGATTCTATCCGAATCACCCAGGGGCTACACCTGTCGGGTGCACTCGCGCATCCTCTGGCGAATCAAAATGCCCCCCGTGCGATTCCATTCAAATCACCCAGGGGCTCGGGGGCTACACCCACCGGGTGCGCTCGCGCGCACCCTCTGGCGAATCAAAATACCCCCCGGGCGATTCTATCCGAATCACCCGGGGGCTCAGGGGCTACTATTGGGGACCAAATACTGGGGTACCCAAAGAGGAGGAGCTAATAACCATCAAACATTGATGCTTCCAAACAGACAAGAACGCAACCACACTTCTTGCCCAACGACCGAAAGTTGGCAGCGCCTCGCCCGACCCGCGAGGGTTGGACTCCGCCTCGCCCAACGTCTAGGGATAAGATCCACCTCACCCAAGGTCCGGGGGCAGGCTCCGCCTCACCCGACGTCCGGGGGCAGGCTCCGCCTTGCCCGATGTCCGAGGGCAGGCTCCACCTCGCCCGACGTCCGGGGACTGGCTCTGCCTCGCCCGATGTCTGTGCGTTGTTCCTTCAGAACTACGCGTGCAGATGAGGCAGGGCGCTCAAGTCAACCGTAATACCGAGGACCATACCTTAGACATCTACAGGATAGTACCATTAGGATATGACCAGACGGGCGCTTTAGGCCCTTCTAGGCGTGTCAGAGCCCAAACAGTGTTGTGGGCGTCACATTTGTCCTATAGTGTTATGGGTGCCAGCATTTGCCCTCGGACACGAATCCTGACAGAAACATATGACAACCACTATAGTCCAGGAGGAAACTCATGTCATCTACAGTTATGAACGTGGGGCCTCTACGCCGTCTACTCCCTGTAGGGTTGTGGTTCGGCACCCTGGTGCGTCGCGCCGTCCGCCGGGGCGGGATGGGACGTGACCACTTGCTGAACGAAGCCAGAGCACGGCCCTATTAGGATCAGCAAACGTGCTATCCCTGGCACCGTCTACCATGTCAGTGGGGCTGGCACAGAGGAAAAGGAAGACCCGGCATATTTAAAGAACCTTCTTGGCCTCTGGTTCTTCTTCTTTCTCCCATTTTGTAATCCCTGCTCTCCCTTGACCTATAAAAAGGGAGGCAGGGCATCCCACTAAGTGGACGGATCAATTCAACATACCACGCATCACATAACACACAACTGAGCAGCAACCAAGCTCTCAGCGTCCTTTCCACCTTTCCATCAGAGACTTGGGACATGTCCCTCTCTCGACCGTTTGTACCCCCTACTACGAACCTTTCAGTGCTAATAACACGAGCAGCAGCCTCAAACCGGACGTAGGGACATTCTGCCCGAACCAGTATAAACCTTGTGTCTTTTAGCATACCATCCGGGCCTAACGCGCAATAATACAAATTTACTAGTTGGTGTTTATTCGAAACACCGACAAGCAGGAGCGAGCGGTGCGAACTGGGAAGCGAGCATTAGCGTTAGTAATAACTCGACGTGGCTTGATGGCTTCATTCATGTTTCCAACTCGTACAATATTATATGGCAAATACATGTTACTTCTAAGCATAAGCCATCGAGTATGATGGATTCATCATAATTATTGAGTCTGTCTATTACACAACCATATGTTTTATGCAGTTTCAACATATAAATTTTTTTTGCATCGTAGAATTAAGATCTAACAGCATCCACCCTGCTTCTACCTCCAGCCTCCACCCTGATTCTACCTCCATCCTTCTTCTACCTCCAGACAATCATAATATCACAGATCCACAGATCATAAGAAATAATTTTTTTCTATGGAATGACAAATCACAGATCGCGGAGGAGGAGGAGGAGAGGTCTACCTGGAGCCGGATCCGCCGCCGCCCGCCGCCATGGTTGGCGTGGGCGCGGGGAGGTGAGCTGGGCGCAGGCGCGGACGCCCTGGAGCCGGATCCACCGCCGCTGCCGCCGCCACTGCCATGGCCGGCACGGGCGCGGGGAGGCGCGCCGGGGGCAGACGCCAGGGCGAGCTCGCCGGTCGCCATCGCCGACGCCGGTGGTCACCGGTGAGAAAGAGAGAGGGAGAGAGAGAGAGAGAAAAAATATATATGTTTTTTTTTTACTAAAACACATATGTGTTGTATGGCATTTCTGTAATTATTTCACCATCCGTCTTGCGTTCAAAAGTAAACGCTCTATAGGGTCTATAGGGTGACCACTGCATTTGCATGCCGGAATGCCAGAATGATCTGTATGATTCCTGCCGACGCATTGAAACCTTCGTTGTAGGTAGGAATCAAGATGTCGGTTGGGTACGTATCAAGATTGAAGAGAAGACGGAATTTAGACTGGCATCTGCACACAACCGTGCAGAAATGTGAGGTGCAGAAGCCTCTTCCATTTCCTCCACGTTTGGAGCTCAAATGGAGCACAACTGAGTTTGGTGGCCGCAAGCAAGCAACCTCAATCCTGCTTGCCATTGCTATATTAAGCTTGTTCATCCATCATTCCCATTAGGCACAATGCCATTTTTAGGATAAAAATCAGCAATCTCCTCGCATGTAGCTGGCCATCATCAGTTCTCCTTGGTTTAGTTTGTTCTTCAATGGATCCTCCAAATCCAATGCGCTTAGCGGCACTTGTCTCCCTCCGTGCTGCCGTCTTCTTCCTCGCCTTGCTTCTGGTGAGCCCCGCCGTCGCCCACAATGACCACGGCGTGCACAAGAACTACCTCATCATCGTGCGCACGCCGTACGAGTACGATCGGAGCATGTTCAAGGACGTGTCGGACTGGCACGCGTCCCTGCTCGCGTCCGTGTGCGACATGGCCGAGGAGGAGCTCGACAAGGATCCGGCCGCCATGGCGCGCCTCATCTACTCCTACCGCCACGTCGTGAACGGCTTCTCGGCCCGCCTCACCGTCGAGGAGATCCGCGAGATGGCCGGCAAGGACTGGTTCGTCAAGGCCATTCCGGAGAAGACGTACAGGTTGATGACCACCCACACGCCGCAGATGCTCGGGCTCAACGGCAAAGGCTCCCACGGCGGCCTGTGGAACAAGAGCAACATGGGCGAAGGGATCATCATCGGCGTCCTCGACGACGGCATCAGCCCCGGGCACCCGTCGTTCGACGGGACGGGCGTCCCGCCGCCGCCGGCCAAGTGGAAGGGCCGGTGCGACTTCAACAGCTCCGTGTGCAACGACAAGCTTATCGGTGCGCGGTCGTTCTACGAGTCGGCCAAGTGGAAGTTTCAAGGGGTCGACGACCCGGTGCTGCCCGTTAGCAAGGGCTCGCACGGGACGCACACGTCGAGCACGGCGGCCGGCGCGTTCGTGCCCGGCGCGAACGTCATGGGCAACGGGATCGGAACGGCTACCGGCATGGCCCCGCGCGCGCACATCGCGCTCTACCAGGTGTGCTTCGAGGACAAGGGATGCGACCGCGACGACATACTGGCAGCGCTCGACGACGCCGTCGACGAGGGCGTCGACGTGCTCTCGCTCTCGCTCGGGGACGACGAGGCCGGCGACTTCGCCTACGACCCCATCGCGCTCGGGGGCTACACCGCCATCATGAAAGGCATCTTCGTCAGCGCCGCGGGTGGGAACATGGGCCCGGACCCGGCGACGGTTGCCAACGAGGCGCCGTGGCTGCTCACAGTAGCGGCGGCGACAACTGACCGGAGGTTCGTCGCCTCCGTAAGGCTTGGCAATGGAGTCGAGCTCGACGGCGAGTCGTTGTTCCAGCCAGAGGGTTTCCTAAGCGTGCCGCGCCCGCTGGTAAGAGACCTCAGCGACGGCACATGTTCCGACGAGAAGGTCCTTACGCCGGAGCACGTAGGAGGAAAGATAGTCGTCTGCGACGCCGGTGGCAACTTCACCTCCCTCGAGATGGGTGCCGCCCTACGCGAAGGCGGCGCGGCCGGTATGGTTGTGATAACCATCGAGGAATTCGGGTCGGTGATCCAACCCAAGGCGCACGCGCTCCCGGCGTCGCAGGTGACTTACTCGACAGGGCAGAAGATCAGGGCATACATGAACTCCACAGACATCCCGACGGGCGAGCTGATCTTCAAAGGAACCGTGCTCGGCAATCGCGACTCGCCGGTGGTGGCGGCGTTCTCGTCGCGGGGGCCAAGCAAGCAAAACCAGGGGATCCTCAAGCCCGACATCACCGGCCCTGGAGTGAACATCATCGCCGGCGTCCCCAAACCGGCGGGGTTCATGACGCCTCCCAATCCACTGGCGGCCAAGTTCGACGTCTTGTCCGGCACGTCCATGGCCACGCCGCACCTCAGCGGCATCGCCGCGGTGCTCAAGAAAGCGCACCCGACATGGACGCCGGCGGCGATCAAGTCGGCCATTATAACGACGGCCGACCCGAAGGACCGCCGCGGGAAGCCGATAGCGGCCCATGACGGGTACCCTGCCAACCTGCTCACGCTGGGCGCCGGGTTCGTCGAACCCATGAAGGCCCTGTCGCCGGGGCTCGTGTACAACCTGACGGCGTTCGACTACATCCCCTACCTGTGCGGGCTCAGGTACACCGACCATGAGATCAACTCGATCATCCACCCGTTGCCGCCGGTGTCGTGCGCGCAGATGGCCGTCGTGGAGCAGAAGGACCTCAATTACCCGTCCATCACGGCGTTCCTGGACCAGGAGCCCTTCGTCGTTAATGTCACCCGCGTCGTGACAAACGTCGGGCGCGCCATCTCCGTGTACGTCGCCAAGGTGGAGGTGCCGAGCACGGTGTCGGTGACGGTGACTCCGGAGATGCTCCTGTTCAAGAAGGTGAACGAGGCGAAGAGGTTCACGGTCACCATCAGGTCCATGGACACAAGTATCCAGGAGGGGATCGCCGAGGGGCAGCTCGCGTGGGTCTCGCCCAAGAACGTGGTGCGCACCCCGATCCTCGTGTCGTTCAAGAAGTTCGTCAAGGATAACTCCACCACAGCTCATCTTAGACATTGATTAGTTCCTGATCTAAGACCAGCAGACTAGAACCCAGAGGTTGATTACAATGATGTAACATCAGCTTCAGCTATAGCACCGTCTCTTGGCTTTGTGTTGAACTGTTGACCCTTGGTCACACAGCAAAAGGTACGACCGGATCGTACGAGGATCACACGGACCACTTGAAGATATATAGGATCGAATTCGCAGTGGAGCAGGAAACCCAACCTAGCCGACTTCTACATTACACGTCAGTGTGGCGAAAACCAAAAAATGTCTCTCGAGAAGAAACTTGTCGAGACGGCGCATCTATAGTTTGTTCTATAGTCGGCAAAATCATCTAGAACGCCCAACTAATATAACAACTAATCATTAACTAGGCTTTAACTATTTATTCTACCAATTCGGTTCCTCCTATGGTCATTCTGTAATTTGCATCATTGGGTCCTTCGCGTTTTCCCTTTGCTCCAAATCTATATATCTTATAAACCAAAACCTCACTAATACTATTTCGTTGCTTCCACATTGTGCCACGTCATCACCATTAATTCAACCATCAAATTTTAAGTAGCCTTCGGGGCCGTTCGCTGGTCTTATCAGACCAGCAAGCCGGCTGATCCCCCTCTCAATACATTGTTCGTCAAACCAGTCAAACAATATTTTTCTCTCACAACAAACCAGTCGAAACAGCGTTTTTCAGCCAAATTTCAGACCAGCGAATAGGGCCTTCCTCTTTAGCTTTCAAGCCATTGGTAACTGATCGTACTTGCTGGAAAAAGGGACGACAACTAGGCCATCAAGAGTTTTTAATGCCACAACTCGTCCGGTTCCTCTCCCCGCTTCACCTGTTCCTATTTCGTGACAATTTAGCATACTACTATTGGATTTTGGTATTCCGACTCACGCATGCCTTTTTGTAATCATTCAACAGTGAATAGTGAATGCTATTTAAATCTTTATCTGCTCCTACCAACTTTAGATCTTTGATTACCAATCATCTTAAATCACCCTCACAATACCCGTGGCAACACGCGGGGAATTTATCTAGTTTACTTGTGGGCGGTGGGTGGGGCCAACTTCTATGGACAAGACAAGAAACAACCACCTAAGCTATAATTTACTCCTCCATTCTAAAAAGAATGTCATTTTAGGAAAGAATCATGTTTTAGTACGTCACATTTGACTAAATTTATATAAAATACTAATATTTATCGTACTAAATTAGTACCATTAGCTTCTTCATGAAACATATTTTTATTGTATATTTATTTGATGTCACAAACATTAATATTTCTACCTGTATATTTGGTCAAACTTCAAACACTTTAACCAATAATGCATCTAGAATTGCATTTTTTTCTTTTCAGGATAGAGGTAGTACACCTTAATGTTTCTACTTTTTGTTAATGATTCACCACATTTCAAAATGTTCGTTGTTTAATATTCTAAGCAAACATTTTTAATTTGAATCAAACTTAGAAAAATATGTTAATGTATAATACCAAATAAATACATTAATAAGACACATTTTGTTCAGGACCGGGTGGGGGTGTTGCTCTTAGTCACCAAACGCTTTTCTGTAATAGAAGCTTAAGCGCCTGGGTCCTCTTTTTTTTTTTTTTGGGTTCGCTGTCGTCGGAGCTTTGGCTGACCTCTCAGCGGCAAGCTTTGGTTGATCGGTGTACGTGACTTGTAACTCTCACTTTATCTTAATGAAATACACGCTAAGCGCGTTCTTGAAAAGATAAGAAGATAAGACGCATTTTGTGGTGGATAATTGGATATTAGAAATGTTGATGTATTTGAATAACTTGATAAAAGTTAAAGAACCATGACTTATGACAAAATTAAGACGACCTACATTTTGCATTGTAGTAAGCAAAAGAAGAAAAGGGACCTAAACAGAAAAAAAAAGAAATCTAGAACGGAGAACATCACATCGCTGTAATATTGAATATAAGAATGTCAGTTTTGCAAAAACAAAAAAGAATATAAGAATGTAATAATACTTACCGTGAAGATTCTGTGGAATCTCCTAGACCTAGAGGCGAAATGGAGGCACGGAGATGCAGCACAACGCCAAAGAAAGTCACCAGGAAACTACTCTGCAAATTATGCTCTGCACGTTGACCGCCTCTTTTACAATCGTACCAGCCTACCCGAATTTTTTTTATTTTTTAGCCTCTCTTTTGAAAATTTTCATAAATATATCTCTGGAGTTATGATTTCAAAATTTAGACCCTTAGGTCGACGCCATCGTTGCTGGCATCGAGATTACACGTCTCGGCGCCATCATTGTTGGCGTCGAAGTCTTGGGCTCGACGCAGACGTGGCGCTAACTTGACAGGCAGCTCGGCGCCGTAGATCCTGGCACCGAGCTTGGCGCCGTAGATCCTGGCGCCGAGCTTGGCGCCGTAGATCTTGGCGCCGAGCTTGACTCCAATATCTATGGCGCCGAGGTGGTGTTTTAACTTGGCCTCCAACATTCCTGCCCGAGACTTCTTCCTCTTCTTTCTCCTCTCTCTCGGGTTTTTTCTCTCCCCACTTCGCTCTATCTCACGAATCGACATATTGGATCTTGAAAACTTTGATTTGATCTGTAGATCTTCGAGAGCAAGGTATCCTCGTTCTCCTCTTAGTTTTTTTCGCATCGATTCGGTATATATTAGTCGGATTTTTTAACCTAAGAATCGTCATTACTTAGGGTTTCGTGCAATCTTTAATATTTGTAGTATACAACCGTAGGATGCCAAGGCGTAGAAAAGCTAGCAAACCAAGATAATCTCAGCGCATGTTGTTATGTTATGGCTTTATTGTTGTGCATCAAATGGGAAACCTTTGGTTTAGGGTTTAATGTTAATTGCTTTCGGTTCTTAAAACGAAATTGGTTGAATTGTAGTTATGACCGGATGACCGAAAATACCTTTGACCCATTGCCTCTGCCTAGTGGTGTTCCAGTGCCTATGTGTTTTTACGGCGATCCTTGCAAGGTAGCCAAGTCCGATGAAGAGGACACGTATAGATAGAGGTATTGAATGTGTTTCAATTTTGCATTTGAGCCAACACTTCGTCAGCGCCGCATTAACAAGATGGTGAGGAATTGATGTTTGTATCATATGACATCTTACATGATTTTTTTGTTTTATAACAATTGTATTTTTTGCAGACCCCTCCACCGCTCTGTGATTTTGAGTGGTGGATCGACACTGAGATCAAGCCTGAAGACAAGGAATGGATGCAGAAATTGTTGCGGTGGGAGGCAGAGGACAAGGAGATGATGGAGAAGAGACGCGGAGAGGATGCTGCAAAAAAGGATCACAAGGAAGAGGAGGAAAGGAGGCGTGTTGCTACGTACAGGGAGGAGAGAGAGAAGAAGCTTGAGCGTGCACGCCAAGCGAAAGAAGCGATGGAGGAGAATCCCGATGCCCTGAGGAAGGGAAAGTGGTCTCGTTGCACTCAGTAGTCTTCATAACTTGCTAGTTCTATAGTTTATTCATGGACAATATTGTCTACTGTCGGTACGTACTTTTAGTATTATTGTGTTGTTTAATGTGGCATAGTATTGGACTTTTTATTATGTAGTTATTTTTATTATTTGTGGTCATAATATTTAATATAATATTGCGGACGTAGTGAAATATGATCACGTGCTGTAAACAAAACCTAACGAAGTAGGGCATTATATAATTCAACACACAAAATACATGAAATGGCATGTGAGAACATGTATCGAACCAGGGTACAGAGTTCCTTCGACTAAACCTAACATGCCTTAGGTAATTAAACCAAGCAACAAACACATATATGTGCCATGTGAATAAGATAGGATCGTCCTAGTAGTGTGGCCACATAGCAAATTATGTTGCACCTTCTCTACAGTAGCCTCCCATTATTGGTGGTGGTGGTGGTGGTGGGGGTGACGATGGAGGCCCTTTGTTCTTGTGGTTAGAGCAGGTGCAATATGGATCATTGCATAGTGCCTCCTGTGAATCGACACCATTGTTGTTGTCGTCCTATTCATCGTCCTTGTAACCGCTGCTAACTTCTCTTTCTAGATCGAAGATACGGTCCTGTAGGTAGTAGATGTACTCTGCATGCGGATAAATAGGTCGAGGATCGACCCACCTAGTGAACCCATAGTTTTTTCGGCCAAAGAAGACTGCAATAAGTATGTCATATAAGTTGTATAGAAGATGGACATATTGAAGAAACAAATAGTAATAGCAACTATCCATGCTCGTGGACATTTAAAGAAACGACGACCTCCATCTATTCCCTTGGTGAACATCTGCACTAGGCAGTCCTCACCATGCATGCATTTTAGCCACTCTTCTTTTCGTTCATCGTATCCTCTCAGTGGTGTCTCTTTGGTGAAATCACTTTTGCTCTCAACTAGGAACCTCTCATAAAGAGCTTCCTCAAAGAAATCGAGACCAAGAGAACCCTCCCACATAATGGTAGTTTCCTTCCCCTTTTCTCTCTCTCCGGATGACCCTCCAGACATTGGTACTGCAACAAAAGAAAATACTGAGGAGTGCTCTTCTTCCTTGTTGTGTATGTGAATGAGAGGGAGTGAGGGGTTATTTATAGGTTGAGAGGAGGAATGAAGGCCTCTCAATGTGCCATGTCAGCGATTCGTGTGCCTCTTCACCTCAGCCTTTGGATCAAACAGTCATAAGATGGATGGTGGAGATGGAGTGGAGTTGTGCTTCCTTGCATACCTTCCTATCTTGAGCAAACCGCCATTCGCTCTTCCTCCCATTTCTTGTAACTGAAAAGTCTATTTTCATTGTCTGAAAAGCCTAGATTCGTTCACTATTACTGAAAAGTCTAGATTTATCTGCAAAGCGTTTGTACGATACGATTGGACTATACACGTTCTAATGAATTTACATTTAATCTATGTACTATATTTGTTCTTTTTTAGCAGTGTAGTATAATTAATGATTCACGGAAAAAAATCACAAGAGTTTCCTTATTTTAGGAGCATCCATAGTTACAAACAGAGACATCATTAT